GGCTCAAAGAGGTCTAACAGGAGAACACTTCCTACTACCATGCCGCACGTCTGGATGTGCTTGGATGTGGCATCCAGGTGGGTTTAGGGGAGCAGGGGAGCATACCAAAGGGTCCTATAGGAGATCCACCATTTCTCTTCCAACAAGACCCTGCACAGCCTCACCACCGCACTTTAAGGGACAGTGGTAAGCATAAAGTAGCAATGTCCTTGGTCAACAGAGATGGAGATTCATCTGGTATGAGTTTTTCACAAATTCATACCTGGCCATAACCCTCTACTTTACAGAACCTTTCAGTGACTGGAGCCATGGCCACTCTAATCCCCTCTCCCAGCACTTCACAGTCCCTCTCCCTTCTCAATGTCACACCCTAGAAGTACTAACCCACTTGAAATCCCTCAAACGTATTTCCGCTACTGTACCATGCTGACTGTCCAGAAAACTGCATTCCTTTCTCAAATCACTGCCCAGGCCTTATCTCTCCTGTGGCTCTTCCTCAGTCCTAACCTTTAAATGAATGAAACCCTTCTCTCCTGACTCTTCCTGGGTTCCTAATAGAGGCCTTCACCCTGCTGTACTTTGGCCATGGATCTCCGCGTGTGTCTCTACTGGAACATGGATTCCCTGTGGGCAGGAGATCTGCTCGCATCTCCAGCAGTCAATGCCAGTAAGGACACATGTGTGGGTTTCTGCATTCACTCCACCCATAGCAATAAGAATGGCAGTTATGTCGAAACCGGTTTGACTCAATGGATAGAGCGTCAGCCTGCGGACTGAAAGGTTCCAGGTTCGATTCAGGTCAGGGAGGTGTACCTTGGTTGTGTACAGGGGCATGTACCTTGGTTGGGGCACATCCCCAGTAGGGGGTGTGCAGGAGGCCAGCTGATCGATGATTCTCTCTCATTGATGTTTCTAACTCTCTATCCCTCTTTCTTCCTCTCTGTGAAAAATCAATAAAATATATTAAAAGAAAGAAAGAAAAAAAAGAAAGAATGGGAGTTATTTAAGCACTCATGAGCACAGGCATCAGTAAGTACTTCATAGGCATTTAATTTTGACCAAAATTCTGCATGTAGAGGTTATGATTATTTCCATTTCGGGGTAGAGAAACCTGGACCAGAGAGAAAGACAACTGCCCCCAAGACATCACAGCTAGTGAGTGTAAGCATGATATCAGACGTGCTTAGGACAATTCTTTATTCATTCTCTCCCAGAATCCACTGTGTGTCAGGTTCTGTGGGAAATAATAAAGATGAAGAGAGCTCAGAGCCCAGGGTGCCAAGACAAGATATGTAAGAGTTTAATTAAGTGTCTTAGGGACTACGATGTCATTCGGTGCCGGAAGGATGAGACACAAAGAATTTTATCTCAGGACAGATAGAGTCAAAACTGCTCTTGAATAATTGAATGAAGTTAAAGAAGTGGAGGTGCTTGGGTGAATTTTAAAGCTCTCATCCAGATGCTATAATATGCAGATCTAGCCAATTAGTAATGCTTCCATTACTCTTTCAGCTACTTTTCACCAAGTCCCTTAAAAAAACTTCTAAGTTCGTGTAGAAGAAACAGTGTTGTTCTATGAAATCATATTTCCTAGGAATTAAGTTACATCTTTCCTTGACAACTTTGGTTGAAAGCTCCCTCCAAGGAGAGTGAGGGCCAAGATAAAAGCAAACTGGTTTCGCTCCAGGGGAAGGAGTGGATAACTCATAAAATCCCCCAGCCAATTTGACTAGGAGGCACGAGGTTATGGACAGACACCAGTTTCTGCCCATACCATCTGCCTGGCAGAGCATTCCTTCCTGGCAGGAAGCCTTTTTCGTCCTCAAAGCACTCAGATAGAGAGATCAGTAGCCTCGGTCCCTACTGGCTTCCCGGAAACTCATTCCAAGTGAAGACCAGCAGTGTGATTAACACTGCTCAGAGGAGCGCGTGACAGGCTGCCCTGGACCTGAGCCCAAATTCCAAGACTTCTGAGTATCGCATGATGCGAGGACAAGTCCAATTTTACAATGTGACCCCAATTATCCTGCCAGAGACATTTCTATCCATCATCCTGCTACAGGACAACAGAAGAGCCAAAGTATATCCCCGTATATGTATTATTTCACAGAGTAGATAGAAAAAACAGCAGGGAAATAATTTCATAAATTGAACCAGTCATTTAGAATCCCTCACAAAGCTAAAAATATTTTGTTATAATAAAAAGACCATATGTTATGTTTTATCCATTGTGCAAGTGTAGCCTCATGTAGTAGTCAACTGTCAATTATTAAAAATGAGCAGAGGTAGTACAAAAATAGCCCTAACTGGCACTGAATGCTCTGTTGCTCATCTACTCCATGCAAAAAGTTCAGTTGTCTCTGAAATTTATGAAACTTGAAATAAATTGAGAACAGGAGTCAGATGTCATTATATTTATACATGTAGCCCATCGCGAGATATCATGCACAGTAGGCCACCTGTGGCCTATGAGGGAGCTGGTGGGAACCGCAGGGAGCCACACTGCTTCCCAGGGAAGCAGGCCCACCGTCTCCTTTCCGGGCCTGTGCTCAGCTGCAGAGGCTGCAGGCCGGCCACCTGTCTCTGTCTCCATCTCCACTCCAGGCCTCACCTGAGCATGCAACCTCCTCCTGTCTGGTCTTGATCCTTTATGGAGTCCTGGCCTAATTTGCATATTCCCTCTTTATAGATAGATAAACTTAATTTACACAATCCAGAAATATTTCAGGTCTTAACGCTATGTGTTTGCCTACTGTCATAATTACCTTGGGTTTTCAATATGACCTATTTACTTGGTCTTATTCTAGAAATAAATAATTATCATCATAGTTAAATAGACAGGAAAAATAATATACCTTTTCCTCTTAAGGAGATGCATTTCAAATAAAATTTCAATTATTATGCTGAAATAGGATTTTTTTTAAAATTACTTTTAGAGAGAGAAGAAAAGAGAAAGTGAGAGGCATTGATTTGTATATGCATTCATTGGTTGATTCTTGTATGTGCCCTGACTGGGGACTAAACCCTCAATCTTGCTGTATAGGGTTGATGCTCCAATCAACTTAGCTATTCAGCCAGGAAGTATTGCTGAATTATTACTTATCTGTATTTTATATATTTTTGCTGTTTGGAACAACTGCATGCTACTGAGAATTACAATACTAAGTCAATCAAAATGAATTTTATTTTAAAACAGAATTTTTATGATCATAAGAAGTTTTTTAAAGCATGGAATTGATTTATAATTTTATTTTTGATATAGATAAGCAAAAGTGATTGATAAATGTGTCAAAGAAGCAAACACACAACATTAAAAATAAATTCAGTGGGGGAAGTGGAATGAAAATATGACATCAAGAAGAGAAATAATGTACAATTTCTAAATGTTAAAGAAAAATTTCCTCATGATTTAAAATGAAAAAATATGGGCCTGAAGTTACAATACTATGGCGTTTAGATTCCAGATGATAAAGAGAATAATTATAACATGTCAGAATACCAATATCTATCACTTATTGGAAATTACATTCTTTATACATATTGCAACTTATGATGGAAAACTTTGCATGTCAGATTATAACTGCATGAGAAGAGTATATTACTGTTTTAAAAATTCTTCTGGTTTTAAGATAATCAGAGTTGTGATCTCTCTGTCAACTCTCAATGCCACGTCAACTTTGAGACTCCAGCTTCTAAGGCACATGTGTCAAACACAAGGCCCGCGGGCCAAATCCGTCCCCCCCAAGCCTTGCAATGTGGCCAGCACCGCGCTGTCATCACTACACTCCGTTGCGTTTCCATCACAATGACAGTTTATGACTGTTCAGTAAACCATTCGGCCTGCGATTTAGGCTGAATTTTAGATTTTGGCCCCTTCTCTGATTGAGTTCGACACCCCTATTAAGGAGTAACACATAAGAGAAATATTCCTTAACTAACAGAACACAACTTCCTCTTTTATTACAATGGCATTTTCTAAAGCCAATACTAGTTCAATCAGACACTCTTTGGAAAAGGGGCTCCATATTCAAAATCTGAAAAACAATGCAGAGGAAACTGCTTGCACAACAATGGGGTGAGTGATGACAGCCAGACTTACCACTTCATATGAAACAGAAAAAGTACAGACAAAGTAAAGGTCCTGGGTTTGATTCCGGTCAAGGACATGTACCTTGGTTGCGGGCACATCGCCAGTGGAGGTGTGTGCAAGAGGCAGCTGGTCGATGACTCTCTCTCATCGACATTTCTAACTCTCCATCTCTCTTAATTCCTCTCTGTGTAAAATCAATAAAATATATTTAAATATACTTAAATACACACACACACACACACACACACACACACACACCAAATAACAGTTTGGAAGAAACTGGATTCCAGGAACTGAAGAACAACAATCCTTGAAAGATGGGAAACAGACGAAGTGAGCCCTAAAATTCCCCCAGATTACTCCTTGAGAGAGTCTCCAGGCTGTGAACAGTAGGGAGAATTCAGGCAGAGCCCCGCAGATTCCCTGGGTGGATGGGACTAAGCAGAGAAAGTGTAGAGAGGCCACGGAGGCTCCAGATTGCAGGAGAGGGTATTGGCAGAAAGCCAGCTGCACAGAGAGAAAGCTCTGGAGATCCACAGCACAGTACCCCTTAGCACAAGCATATAAGAAAACTACCTACATCTGGAAAGAGGTTTATACAAGAGGCCTAGAGAGGACAATGTCCACATGGGGCAGGAACAGTGCCTGTTCCCACCAGCCATTCTGAAAAAACTCCTAGTGCACAGAGTATTGGGAGGACCTAGGAGAATCTGGCCTCACTGGTGGGGAATAAATAATCCTGGACTGCATACAGCTCCAGTTCTGCCTAAGGAATCTTAACAGCAAGATAAAAAAGAATCAACTTGTTTCCAAATAACACATCCCATAACAAAGTTGAAGAATTTACAGAAATACCCAACAATGTAAATTTCACTTTGTCTGGCATCTGATCAAATGTTACCAACCATGCAGTCTTCCAGCGCTTCCTACAGGCTGTGTTCTTACATTGACTGTCCATAAAAAAGAAGGCGGAATAAATCCACCCCATATATTCTTCAGCCCTGGTCCTTTGCCTGATCTATATTGTGATTGAGAAAACATGGTGGAGGAGTTATCAACCATGCAAACAAATAGGAAAACAGGACCCATAATAAGGAGATAAATCAATTGATATAAACCCAGAAATTACATAGATATTGGAGCTAGTTGATAAGGACATTAAAATAATTATTATAACTATATATGTGCAAAAGGTTAAGTAGAGACATGAAAGGCATTTAAAAAAAATAAACAAAAATTTTAGAGCTAAAACCCACAATGTGTGAGAAGAAAACCACACTAGATTGGGATAATTACAGTTTAAACATTGCAGAATAAAAGATCAATGAACTTTAAAACATAACAATTGACGTGCAAAATGAAACATAGAAAATATATTTTTTAATTAAGAGAGTATCAATGTGTGGAACATTTTCAAGAGATATAATAAATATGTAACTGGAGTCCCCAAAGAAGAAGAGAAAGAGGGCAGACAGAAAAATTATTCCAAGAAATAAAAGCAAAAGTTTTCAATCTTGATGAAAATTATAAGCTGACAGATCCAAGAAGCTCATGAACCCCAAACATAAGAAATCTGGAAATAAATAAAGAAAATCCATGTCAAGGTACATTTAATCAAATTGCATCAAGCTGATGATGAACAGAAAAATCTCAAAGACAGCCATAGGCAAAAAAGAGGCAATACTTTTAGAGAATGAAAGATAAATTTGAAAGCTGACTTCCCATCAAATTACAGTACAAGAGAGAAGAAAGTACAGCAACATATTTAAAATACTGAGAGAAAAAACTCTCAAACTAGAATTCCACATTCAGCAAAAATATTTTTCAAAAATAATGAAGGGAAAATAAAGACATTTTCAGACATACAAAAGCTGAAAGTGCTCATCACAAATACAAACTATAACATACAAATAAAGTACTTTAGGCAGAAAAAAATACCAGATGGAACTATGAATCTACAGAAAGCAATGAATAGAAATGCTTAACTGTATGAGTAAATATTTAAGATTTTGTCCTATTATTTAAGTTTCTTTAAAAGAAAATTGTATAATACAAGTAGTAACGATGTACCTGGAGTTTACAAAAGATGTGAAAGTAAAATATATGACAACAGTAAAAGCTGAGGGTAGAGCCCTGGCCAGTGTTTAGGTGGGCCGAGTGTCTTCTAGTACACCAAAAGTTTTCCAGTTCGATTCCCAGTCAGGCCGCATGCCCAGGTTGCTGGTTCAGTCTCTAGGGTCATGGGGTGTACAGGAGGGAACCAGTCAATGTTTCTCTCTCAACATCAATGTTTCTCTCTCCCTCACCTTCTTCTCTCTCTAAAATCAATAAAAAAAATTTTAAAGGCTGAAGTTAGAGAAATGGAAGTTCACTTTGGAAGATTCTCATTCTGTACTTAAACTGGTATACTATCACTTGAAGGTAGCCTTAATATGTTAATTATGTGTATCAATATTATAACATTTATAGCTAATAAACCCATCAAAGAAAAATAAAAAATATTCAATATAGATGAAAGCAGAAAGAGAGGAAAGTCAACAAAAAGTAGATGGAACAAACAAAAACAAACAACAATAACCATATCAATGTTTACATTAACTGTAAATGGTCTATATATGTCCATTAAAAAGCAGAGTGCCAGATCAATTTTTTTTAAAGCAAGTCTTAACTACATACTATCTATAATGTACTTAAAATATAAAAATATAAGTAGGATAAAAGAGGATAAAAATATGTAACTACTACAAACTAACAGAAAACTACAGTATCTATAAAATAGATTTCACAGTATGAAAAATATTATCAGGGATAAAGCAAGACAGTTCATAATTATAAAAGATCCAATTCATTAAGAGCATATAATAACTTTAAACATTTTTACACCCCAAAATAAAGCTTCCAAACATATAAAGCAATAAGATGGTAGTCCTACAAAGAGAAATAAATCCACAATTACATTCAGCATTTCAATACCCCTTACTCAATAAACATAGCAAGTATACAGAAAATCAGTACTAATAAGTAAGATTTTAAAACATTATTAATTAACTTAACCTAATTGACATTAATAGGACACTACACCTAACAACATCAAAATGTACCTCCTTTCCAATTATTCACAGAACATTTGCCAAAATAGCACATATTCTGATTTATGAATAAACCTAAATAAATTTAAAGAAGACTAAAAAAATATCAAAATGTTTTCTCACTACAATGGAGATCAATTTGTAATCAATTATATAAAATATCTGAAAAATACTTAAATATTTATGTGTTTCTAATACACTAAAAACACTACAAAATAACTCAGTGTCAAAGATACATCAAAAGGAAAATTTTTAAGTGTTTTTAACTGAGAAAATATTAAAGTACACTTATCAAAATTTGCAGAATACCACTAAATTGGGAAGCAGGGGGCATAAATATATTCAGACAAATTTAATTTGGGAAATCCTAGAATAAGCAAATGGTCAAACTATTTTGTCACAGAATTCTCTGATTTTGACAAAACTATTAAATCTTAAAGAACATAACTTGGGACCCAAAAGTACCAATCACTCATTTTGCACTAGTCATGTCTTATATCACTTGTTAAATGAGAATTCCTTCAAAGTGAGAGAACATAACATACATTGACATCTTTCCAACAATGTAGCAACGCAGATGCTCCCATATATTTAAGTGTTTTCGATAGTTTTGGATTAAAATTTAATTTTACTTCTCTGTATTGATTTCCCTCCAAGCATTAAGTCTATTCCCATACTTAAAACTATAACTTCTTCCAAATCTGCTGCCTTCACTATGAACTATTTCTCAAATACTATCTAGTTCTCTATTTAAACCACACACTGGACATCACTAGGAAGAAAATTTACCATCAGTAAGACAGAAACATGCCCTCAACCAATTGTATCAATTTACCCCACAAACTATTTTTCTGTCTTCATAGAACAGAAGTATAATTTAGCAGCTATTTCATCAATAACTGAGACAAGCAATGGTAGAAGTGGAGATAGAGAGAAGTAGATGGATTTAGAGGATATTTAGAAAGAAGGAAGTTTGAACTACTAATGGCCTGGATGAGGAAAAAGCTGGGACCTCTCTTCAATTTCCCTTTTGAACAACTAGATAAATGGTGGCACAGTGTATGGAGTGAAAAAGCTTCTCTATGCTTGATACATGTAAGTCTCAACTGATTTCATTCCCTATCACTATTATTTTATTATCATTATTATCCCTCTCTATGGAAGTAAATAATGCATGTTTCCCTTCTGTCCATTCAGTTGCCTGCACTTCCATTGCATTTCGTTACATTCATTCTTCTAGGTCTGTCTCTGAATCCCACAAAGAGAATACATTTGGCACAGCACATGCCCATGGCAGGTCTTAGCCAGTTTGCCAGAGGAAGCTGCTGATATCCTGGAGGAACAGGGATCTGCACAGCCACTATTAAATACCGCTCCCAGTACCCATCCCCACAATCTCTAGATAAATATTGCCTTTTGAATTGGGTAATATCAAACTTCAAGTAGAGATATGAAGAGAAAACCTCAAGTTATTAAACATTTGAAGAAAACAAACACCAAGAAAGAAAAGCAGTCACACAACAAATAGTGAAAGTAGCACTAAAATGGTGATTTAGAAAATATTAAAAATATCCTTTAAATGAAAAACACAATATTTGGTCTAAAGGGAAAAAAGGATAGAGCTGAAAAATACATTAGTAATCTAGCAGATAGAGCCAAGAATTATCCTACATGGCAACTCCCTCTCATCAGAGAGAGAAGGAAGGAGGGAGACAATGAGAGAGAGAGAGAGAAAAGTTAAGATAAGCAAGAAGTTTAAAAATAACTATAATATGAATTTTGAAAGAAGAAAATAAAAAAGTAACAGAAAAGACCAAATAAATAATAGAAAAAAAGTATACAGCCCTGGCCAGTGGCTCAGTTGGTTGAGTGTTGTCCCATAAACCAAAAGATCTCAGATTCAATTCCTGGCCAGGGCATATGCTGGGGTCGCCTCTTGGATCCCCAGTAAGGGACATGCAAGAGGCAGCTGATCAATATTTCTCTCTCTTTATCTCCCTCTCTCATCAATAAAAAAACTTATTTTTAAAATGTGCAGAGTTGAAGGCACTTATCTTCCATCAAGAGGGCTTATGAAGTTCCAATAGCCCATAGGTGGATAAGAAGCTCTTTGGAGCCCAGTCCTCTGTCTTAAACTGTTGACTATTTCTTTTGTGGCTCTAGAAACATTGCAGTTAAAGGACTCTGACTACTTAAACTGACTGTGGAATGGAAGGAGAGCCCATAAATGAATGACTGGTTCTGGTTACTGAAATCAAGCTTTTGATCTTTTTTGATCTTTGTAAATCTCAGCAAAGTGTTTTGTTGTTGTTTTATTATTAATCCTCACCAGAGGATTTTTTCCCAATGATTTTTAGAGCAAGTGGACGGGAGGAAGAGGGGAGAGAGAGAGAGAGAGAGAGAGAGAGAGAGAGAGAGAGAGAGAGAGAGAAAGAGAGAGAGTGAGTGAGTTCCCTCTAGCACATGCCCCCATTGAGCCAAGGAACCAACCTGCAACAGAGGTGAGTGCCCTTGACTGGGAATCAAATCTGTAATCCCTTAGTGTGTGGGCCATCAGTCCAACCACTGAGAAACACTGGCTGGGGCCTGAGCAAAGTTCTTATGCAAAAATTCCTCTTCGAGATCATAACCCACAGGTCTTTACATTCACTTTCATTCTCATTCTTTCTCTATCCCCTCCTCCAACTCCTTACTCCTTTCTACTTTCATGCCCATGCAAAACCATGGCAACCTGATGTTGGCATATGATTATTTAATGGGGAAATTGAGTAAGAAACCCTCTTATAGAGAAGCCTAACTGAAATGGGCATAATCTGCAATCACATGTAAGTCACAGGGATTAATTCGTCAGCATAATGTCTCAGAAAGAGGGGGCTAAAACAGTTAGTGGCATTCTACAAATAAGCTCCATCAAGCTTTAGAAACACCTGTTCTCCACTCTAGTCCAGCTTCAG